CATAGCGTCAGCGGGGGTGGCATGGAGGGTGAAGAGAACCTCAACGACGTATGTCGTCGGTTGCAATGCATCCACGAGGAGAGCGACTCAGCCAAAGGGAAGCGACTTGCCGCCAGAGGTCCGTCCCAACCAAACCACCCAAGTCCAATTGCCAGGTGTGCTGGCGACCGAGCCTGCACAATCGGTGTCCGAGTCGGCATGGTGGCAAGGGCCGCCACCCACAGCAGCCCAAGCGGAAGACTCAAGGAAAGTATCGACACAACGACGTATGTCGTCAGTCCCACGGACGGCCATTGTGGAGGTCACCTAGATGGGCCAGCCCGCCGCACCACGCGGCCAGCTGTCGAGCAGGCGTTGCATGTCACGACCACTCGAAGGAAAGTGACTCTCCTTTAGGAGATAGAGCATTTGGTAGTTTCTCTCATTGTAGAGTTCTCTCACCCTTGTATATGTATACTGATGATCGTCATGGTCGTCGCCATAAAGATGTGGCATTAAATCGGTGGATATACAAGGAAATAGGAGGCCAGGGCCGAGGCCCCCATCCCTGAGGAACTCCTCCGCCGCAGCCTTCCAGCGTTCCTGCGCCTGGGGATGCCCCAACCTGAACCAGGGGGCGCTCACCATTCGGCAGCCTTTGCGCCTGGTTCTCCTCTCGGGCGATCAACCGATGGAGGAGGACCATCGCTTTTTCATCGACTGCATCGAAATGTGCGAAGCGCCACAAGCGGGTGGGGAAGTAAAACTTCTTCTTTTGCGGCCCGGGGATCCTAAGCAACGACCGCTCGAAGATCCCAGCCCTCGGAGGTGGCCGCGGCTCGGAGACGCCACAGGGCGCTATTCAGCAGGCCCGCCCTGAATCGAGAGAGAAGGCTGTGCCTGCAAACCCAGTGAGATGTCCGCAAGCGGGAAGAGCAGGCGAAAAGTGCCCCTATATGTGCCCGGATACGTGAACATTCGCGGGTCAAACTTGCCGCGTCTGGCCGGAAGGATTCCACTCTCGAAGCCCGCCAGCAGTCGGTCAGCAATGGTAATCTGGGTCGGCCCACCAGGGCAGCCGGAACCTTGCATGTGACTCGCACCTCAATGTGCTGACCGTCACGAGTTGGAGTAACGTTGGTGAACTGCAGAAGTGGAGCGGCCAATGGGTCGTCAGCGAATGCCCGTGTGAGATAAAGCAGCAGCTGTACAGGCAGTAGCATACCACAGTGCAGCAGTAGGGTCCCCTTGTCGCTTCAACACTCGTGCCGCCTCCCCCAGTAGTGCGCCGCTGGCTGGAACCGGCGCCGCGTCGGCTGCCTGTCTGCAAAGGTTCTTGGGTGACGGTGGATTCACGCTTGGGTGCCAAGGACATTTGCACCAAGCTGCCGTCCCGGACTGGAGATTTCCTTCCTGCCAGGGCACGAGGGAGCGAATCCTTGAGTCCTGCAAGCTCATCGAGAAGCAGCCACCACCAAATCTCGGATCGAGCGAGCTCATACCAGGAAAGGTCAAAAACTCGTCCTTCAGGCAGGCTGCCCCCCAACCCCCCGCTGTTTTCAGAAGCTTGCCGAAAACAAAGAAAAAAACTGCCAATGACCAGTCCCTGCCACAAAAGAAGAAGAAGCCACACGATTTGTGGGGGTTTTTGCGAATGAACTCTGGGTTCGGAAACTCTATTCAAACCCTGGATTCAAAACTCTTCGCCTTTCAGAGTTCAATGCCAGGTTCAACTCCAGTTCAAGAAGTTCGGAGTTGAGTTCAACTTGGAGTTCAACTCAAAGTTCGAACCCAGGGTTCGAGGCTCCGAATCTCTTAGTTCGGAGTTCCAGAACCCTGGGTTCGGAACTCTAAGTTCCAAACCTTGGATTTAAACACCCCCAAAAATGTTGCGGCGCCCTGATGGCCATTGTGGCGATGTCCGAGGCTGGACCACCTCACTATGTGAAGCGGTCCCTGTGGGTGGACTGCGTTTGAACCTCACCTTTGCCGCCTCCAGTGGGTCGTGGGTCGACCTTCCGCATTGGAAAGGATGGCAGCCGAGGAGGGCTGTCTCTCCTGAGACAGATCTCAACTAGGAGGCACATCGCAGTTGCAACGCAGCCGATTCCTGTCTCTACAGCTTGCAAGAAGACAGTACAAGGTGCCTCTCCGCAGCGAAATAGCACCGGGGTCTCGGTGCAGGCTGGCTACACGGCCGGATGGGCATGCCTATGGCCAGTGGGGCAAAAAGACATCGCTCTCTCCACTAATGCACGACGGTTGCAAGGGAAAGATTCCAGCTGCAAACGTGATCAGGTTGCGGAGAAGCAAGGAAAGAGCGTGAAAAGTTTGCTCCTTTTTAGTACCGAGCTTGTTTTGCGCATGAGAAAGGGTTTCATCCTTTTTGCCTTGAAGTGTTTTGTTTTGGAAGCTTGAACAGGCATTTGCATGGCGAACACATGTTGTAGCAAGTTTGCACTTGTCTTGAAGACCGTGATGAGCGCTTACAGCACTAGAGATGCTTTTTGGGCATCCTTGAAGAAGTGCGTGTTGCTCTGACTGCACTGTTGCTGTTTTCCGCCGACCCTCGCTTCGCTCGTGCCGGTGGGAACAGGCCAAGGGACAGAGTGGCTGTGCATTGCTGTTTGAGTGAGTACAGAAGTCCTGAGAAGTGTTCGGACAGTTGCATGTCATTCCTCCTTTGTTTAGCAAAGTTGAGACGGAATTTGCTGCGCGAGACTCCGCAAGAGACCTTGCTGAACACTTCGGTGTTTGGCTCAAGCGTGGAGTGAAAAGAGACTTGCTCTGCGTTTTTCACATGGTAGCGGAGCCCTGAGTGCGTTCCTAGTAAAGCCATGGCAGACGTTCCTGTGCCGGAGACCACTGCAGAAGAGGAGTTCGAGCTCTTCGGTCCAGGACCAGCGCCTGAAGGTGCTCAGCAGGAAGCAAATCCGTTCCTAGAGTTCAGCAAACCCCCATTCAGGGTTTATTAAACCCTAGTTCAGGGTTTAACAAACCCTAGGGTTTAGCAAACCCCCATTCAGGGTTTATTAACGTAATTTAGGGTTTGGCAAACCCTAGGGTTTAGAAACCCCCCATGCAGGGTACAGGACCTGAAGGGTTGTCCTAAACCCTGCAGGATCTGAAGGGTTTCCTTGAACCCTTCAGGACCTGTTTGTATTTTAGGCCCAGAATGGGGGGGACCTCGAGATCGGCCCTCCGGTCACCCAAAACACACACCCCAAAATCCAGGAAATTTGGCTTTAAGTTTAGCAAACATTCAAGGTTTATTAATAAGGTTTTTCCAAACCCTGTGGTTTAGCAAACACCCATGCAAGGTTTATTAACTAATTTAGGGTTTAGCAAACCCTAGGGTTTAGCAAACCCCCATTCAGGGTTTATTAATTCTTAATTTAATGTTTAGCAAACCCTAAGGTTTATTTAGGGTTTACCAACCCTAGAGTTCAGCAAACCCCCATTCAGGGTTTATTAAACCCTAATTCAGGGTTCAACAAACCCTAGGGTTTAGCAAACCCCCATTCAGGGCCCCCCCGTGCCTCCTGCTATGGATGCCTCTGGGTCGGTGGCCCGCCCCTGCCTCCTGCTGTGGATGCCTCTGGGTCGGTGGCCCGGCCCCTGCCTCCTGCTGTGGATACCACTGGGTCGGTGGCCCGGCCCCTGCCTCCTGCTGTGGATGCCCCTGGGTCGGTGGCCGGGCCCTTGGCTCCTGCTGTGGATGCCTCTGGGTGGGTGGGGGACCTCGAGATCGGCCCTCCGGCCTAATAAAAACGCTATTCTATGAACAGAATTTGTCACCCAAAACACCCACCCCAAAATCCAGGAAATTTGGCTTTAAGTTTAGCAAACCCCCATTCAAGGTTTATTAATAAGGTTTTTCCAAACCCTATGGTTTAGCAAGGGTTTAGCAAACCCTAGGGTTTAGCAAACACCCATTCAAGGTTTATTAACTAATTTAGGGTTTAGCAAACCCTAGGGTTTAGCAAACCCCCATTCAGGGTTTATAAAGGTTTATTTAGGGTTTAGCAACCCTAGAGTTCAGCAAACCCCCATTCAGGGTTTATTAAACCCTAGTTCAGGGTTTAACAAACCCTAGGGTTTAGCAAACCCCCATTCAGGGTTTATTAACGTAATTTAGGGTTTGGCAAACCCTAGGGTTTAGAAAACCCCCATGCAGGGTACAGGACCTGAAGGGTTGTCCTAAACCCTGCAGGATCTGAAGGGTTTCCTTGAACCCTTCAGGACCTGTTTGTATTTTAGGCCCAGAATGGGGGGGACCTCGAGATCGGCCCTCCGGTCACCCAAAACACCCACCCCAAAATCCAGGAAATTTGGCTTTAAGTTTAGCAAACATTCAAGGTTTATTAATAAGGTTTTTCCAAACCCTGTGGTTTAGCAAACACCCATGCAAGGTTTATTAACTAATTTAGGGTTTAGCAAACCCTAGGGTTTAGCAAACACCCATGCAGAGTTTATTAACTAATTTAGGATTTAGCAAACCCTAGGGTTTAGCAAACCTCCATTCAGGGTTTATTAATTCTTAATTTAATGTTTAGCAAACCCTAAGGTTTATTTAGGGTTTACCAACCCTAGAGTTCAGCAAACCCCCATTCAAGGTTTATTAAACCCTAATTCAGGGTTCAACAAACCCTAGGGTTTAGCAAACCCCCATTCAAGGTTTATTAACGTAATTTAGGGTTTAGCAAACCCTAGGGTTTAGCAAACCCCCATGCAGGGTTTATTTAACTCTAATTTAGGGTTTAGCAAACCCTAGGGTTTAGCAAGCCCCCATTCAGGGTTAATTACCGAAAATTCAGGACCCTCCTGTGCAAGGTCCGGGTCCTGCTCCTCCGCAAGCAGCACAGCCTGCGGTACCAGCGGCGGGTTCGCCATCTGGTGCTACTGTGCCTCCTGTGCAAAGTCCAAAGGCGTCGGCTCCACCTGTTCAGAGTCCGAAGGCTGCTGCTCCGAGTAGCAGCTCTGGTTCTGCAGGTTTTACGCCTGAGCAGATGCCTGGATTCATGATGGAATTGCTTCGTCAGCAGAGAGAGATGATGGCAATGAACCAGCAGCTCGTTGCGACGATGCTCCGGAGAATGGATCTGGAGGAAGAGAGAAGGAACAAAGCGGAAGAGAAAGTTCACGAGGCAGCTGAAGCGGCCAAGCAGGCAGCAGAGGCAGCTAAGACTCGGGACCCCTTCCAGCCGAGCACTGCTCCCGCGAGCAGTTCTGCCGCGAGTTCGGCAGTTTCTCCGGCAGTTCCGTCTCCCTCTGGGTACTCTGGTGCTGGAGGCCGTGCAGAGAAGTATCTGCCGAACCTTCCGGTGATAGACCATCAAGGCATGGGGAAAGGGCGCATGAAGGAGGTAGAGACTTGGCACTCCTTTATGGAGACGCTGAGTTCCTGGCTTGCCCTGCAGGAAGAAGCGTTTGTTCGGGAACTGCAGCTCTGTATCCCTGTGAAGAAGGAGATTGTGCAAGCTGACTTGAATCCCGAGACTGCCGCGCGTAGCTCCAAGCTGTTCTACTACTTGACGCAGTCCCTCGCCAAGTGGGAGCGGGGAAGCGAGCTCTTGAGGTCCTGCTCGAAGAGGCAGGGGCAGAGCGCCTGCGGCTACGAGGTGATTAGAACGATTACCTCTCAGTACTCCATCGTGTCGCGGATGGAAGCTGTCTTCGTGAGAGAACAGGCTTTGAAGTTGTACCAGCACGTTGGGCATTTGAAGAGGCCCACCGACTTGATTCGACATCTTGAGGATTCGTTTTCGAAGTCTGAAGCGAAGCTGAGCAACTTTCCGGAGCTTCAGCTGTCTGAGGCTGACCGCTGCTCTGTCCTGTTACAGAGCTTGGGTGCAGAAGTGCGTCAGTACGTGGTACTGCACGGGTCCAGCTCGAACTGGGAAGCTCTTCGAAGGACGCTGACTTACTACGAGGAGCAGCTGCGACTGTGTGAGGCCCCTGGGTCTTCGGGCCGAGCCTTGCAGGAGAAGCTTTGCGACTACTGCGGGAAGAAGGGACACACAGCCGACAAGTGTTGGCAGCGCCAAAAGGAAGAACGCGGTGGTGCTCCGAAGGGCAAAGGGAAAGGAGACAAAGGAAAGCCGAAAGGCAAAGGCGACCAGACTCCCAAGGGATCTGGCACGCCCCGTGGTTCCGAGAAGGGCAAGGGCGACAAAGGAAAAGGCGACAAAGGAAAGGACAAAGGCAAGAAGCAGAAGAAAAAGAAGAAGGGACAGCCTGGAAAGGGACGCTCCTTGACAGAGCCGGAGTCCGAGGCCGAGTCGGGAGGAAGCGCCACAGTGATGGCGATGAGGTTTTCCTGTCCGGGGCGTGGTTCTTCGGAGCCCTCTTCTTCGGAACGCCGTGTTCTGAGCCAGCCTGAGAGACCTGAGCCGTCCGCCCTTGTAGTTCCGAAGCCGGGTTCAGGACCCGAAGGGTCGCCTAGGTCTGAGAGTCGAGGTTCTGAGTCTATGGGCTCCTTAGGATCCCGTGTGTTGAAGCACGGCGACGTAGCTCATGTCTGCAAGGCCCTCGAGACTACTCCTGGGGACCTGTGGCTAGTCGATAGTGGAGCCACCTGCCACATTGTTTCTGACAAACATCTCTCAGGATTTCGTGTTGTCAAGAAGTACGACCGAACGGCCAATCTGTTCAACGCCTCGGGTGGTGCGATCGTCGTTTCGGGGGTTGTCGACCTTGAGGTTCATTTTGGGGATGTTTTCCTGAGGTTGGAAGAGGTCTTGGTGGCGGATGTTGGGTTCAACGTTGTTTCGCCTTGGACCGGGTCGGAACGGGGCTGGAAAACCTATCTAGCCAAATCGGGATCACGATTGTACAAAGGAAACGGAAAGAAGAGCATCAAGCTGATGGGCGCTTCGCGCGCCTGGTGGGCTCTGAGCGGGAGGTCCAAGGGCCGGGGGAAAGAGAATTCTTCCAGACGCCCCCCGAAAGGGATCGAGGACATGGAGATAGATGCCTTGAAGGACCGCGACCTGCTAGGATCGAGCAAGGAGTCCACCGCAGGACCCCAGAAGCCTGGAGAAGGAATCCTGAAGAAAGGAAGAAAGACTTCGGAAGAAGACGAGTCTGGCCGCCACGCTTTGGCTGCCACTCCTTTTGGGTTTCTGCTTCGGGGTCTTAGGGCGGAAGTTGCTCCAAGAGCGCCTGCACCACGGGAGTTTGAGCTTTGTGATTTTCTAGAAGAGTCTAGTGACTTTAGGCAGGGCACGGCGCTTGATTTTAGGAAACAGTTGCATGTTGGCATGTCGCTTGATTTTAGGAAACAGTCGCATGTTGGCATGGCTCTTGATTTTAGGAAACAGTCGCATGTTGGCATGGTGCTTTGCATGTTTTGGGCATGTTTTTCCATGATTTTGCGATTGCTCAAGCGGGCTTTTACCCTTACGGTTTTTGCAGAACGACTCGGCATACGCCTCTTTTCCTGCTATGGGAAACTATCTGGGCGGATCAAAGCAAGAATGCGAGCACCGGTGCGAGGTGTGCGGAAAGCAGGTCTGCGTCAGACGCAAACCTGCTCACACCCATCATTATTGTTGGGCCTGCATTCAACATTGGTCTGGGTTGCAATGGCTACGTGCCCACGACGAAGTTCCAGATTCGAGCTATGCTGAGAGCGATGCCGATGGTAGCATTGCAGCTGGTTGGGTCTTGCTTGATGGAAAGTGAAGAAGACAGACCCTTCAGCCACAAGAGGGTAGAAAAAGGGTTGCGAAAGCAGTTGCCTGAGCTTAGGAAGCAGCGGCATGAGCCTAGGAAGCAGCTGCGTGAGCCTAGGAAACAGTGGCATGTTGGCATGCTTGGCTTGATTTTTCAAACGCTGATGTTGCCGAATGTTTGCGCTAGCACTGCGCACGTTCCATCTGCAGCCGTTTTTCTCTTTGGTGAAGAGAGGTCTCCCTTTGGAGATCATAATGGACGGTGCCAGCGGGGACGAGTTTACCCCGAGTGTTGCTTTGAGCAGTCCGGGCTCCCCAGGGGACCCGCCTACACCGCCAGCTTTGGAGAGCCCCTCTTTCGAACTACCGGGGGTCGAGCCGCCGGGTGGGGGACCATCGTCGCCGGTGGCTGTCTACCCGTCGCCAGTGGTGACGGAAGCAGCGGAGAGCCCGTTGCTGGCGGATTCTGCAGATGGCCCTTCGCAGGCAGATGCGGCTGGAAGCCCTGTGGAGGAGAATACTGCGAGGAGTCCGCCGAAGGCGGATATTGCAGAGAGCCCTTTGTTCTCAGAGAGCGAAGGGGAGGAGAGTTGGGGCCACAAGTGGCCGAATCCCTCGAAGCGCCTGCGCGCTGGGGTTCCTTCAGAGGTCGAGGGGCCTACGCCACCGCGGGTTGGAATCCCGGCGAACATCTCGCCGGGCTCGCTGAGCCCTCCGTTTGGTGCGCTTCAGATGGATGTGGGAACCCAACTCCTCCTGAGAGTGTTGAGGCTGGAGGCTGGCCGCAGATGGGAGCATGCGGAAACACTAGGCCTTGCAAAGGTCTCGGTCGACTCTACCGAGCCTATTCCGTTGCTCTCGCACTTGGCGGGGATTCCAGCGAACATGAACGATGCCTACGATGCCCCATCCCTGGCGTTCTGTGCTCCAGGCCACGCCTTGAGAGCACTTTGCTCTCCGACGGCGACGATGCTCGGTCCGATAGGCCTGCCCGACCTAGAGCATCCAGCTGCTTGGCTACCAGCCACTCCAGTGATTCCGGTGACAGCGGCCTATCCAGAGGAACCATTGAGGGTTTCGAGGCCGAAGATGGTGGAATCGGAAGCACAATGTATCATTGGGCAGCAGGAATGGGAGGTTTGGTTGGGACGTTGCCTAGAGGGCAAGAGCCTAGCAGAGTACGGGCTTCATATGGAAGACGTGGGGTTCGCCGTCAGGGTTACCGAACTTCTGGAGGCTCCACGGGCCGCTCGGGCGGCGTGGAAACGAAGGTTCCAGGAACCCAACCCTGTATCTATGTTACACTATCTCTTCCATTGTCGAGCTGTATTGCAAACCTATTTGGCTACGCCTGCTGGATACAGGGGACTGGTGGGAGCGCGTTCGAGTCTGCTCGTAAAGGTGCCCCAGTCGGTCACCTCCCTCGAGCTCAAAACGGCTTGGGCATACCTAGACTCGGGCATATATCTCCGTGTTGCCCGATATTACAGGCGAAAACGGGAGGAGGAGCGCCTCCACGAGGCCCGGGAATCCATGCGAGCGGCAAGGGCCAAATCGGCAGCGATCCCTCAGGGCTCAATGATGGAGGGCGGTGTTGTGGACACCTCCTCTTCGAGCTCCGACGAGGAGTCCTTGCTCCTTGGAGAAGGAGAAGTTACGGCGCTGAACAGGGCCCAGGGCCAAGAAGATTTATCAGACATCGCAATATGGCGCACGTTGGAAGAACTTACAGGCCAGAGGCTGTCCCAATTGGATGGCTTTGTTGGGGCCGACGAGGGAAATCAGCCCGCAGAGGCGGGACAGCCGGCACCGCCGAGCCCGGCTCCGTCCTCGGTGCCACCAGGAGAACTGGTTGCTACTGCCTTCAACCTCCCGAGGGTTTCGGCACCCATGCTTCCGGAGGGGATGCAGAGGGAGGACTATCAAAGGCACGGTGTGAACATCCCTCCGTCTGTTCCACCAAGATCTCGTCTACCAACGCCTCCGAGAGCTATGAGTTCTTCTGCCACAGGACAGACTGCCCAGGAACGGGCATTTGTGCTCAGCCCGCCATCTTTAAGCCACAGTCAAGTGACTGCGCAGGCGAGGCAGGCCCTAGAAGAGGGCCAGAGGCTCTTGGAGTGACTCTGCGGCGATCCGCACCGAGGGGTTGGAGTTCAAAAGTTTTTTCTTGCGAGCACGCTTTGCAACAGCACGCTTTGCAGCAGCACACTTTGCAGCAGCACGTTTTGCAGCAGCATGTTGTGTGGCATGAGCGTTGGCATGGTTTGTGGCATGTTGCGTTTGCTCGAAAACCAACCCAACGTACCTCGAACCCTCCTACCTTCGAAACCCGCACCTTTAAAACCACGGCCGCTTTCAGGAATGGTTTCACGCCAGGACTGGATCTTGGTATCATCGTGCTTCTCCTGACGGTCTACAGCCTCTTCTGTGGTATAGCTTTGTGGGTTTCTTCAGGGTTACTTCGGTGTTTCAGGAAAGTGGTTTCGCGAAAGAGGCCACGAAAGTTCTATAGGGTGTTTTCTAGAAAACGCGGAAGCTACTTTAGGATTAAGCTGCGGGACCGATGGGCCCGCGTCGAGGTGAGTAGGAAACTTCTTTTGAGTCGTGAGGTGAAAGGTTTTGGGCAGCGCGTTTGTGAGCATGTCTGTGAAAACTTAAAGTGCGCATGTTGTGGCATGTTTGGCATGCTTTGTGCCGGAGATGATGAACCGGCCCCGGCAAAGAAGACGGAACAAGTTGAGCACGTGCTCCGAGCCGTGCGCTTTAGAGGTTTACCGTCGCCGGGGACCGGTACACGTTCTGATCCGTTTGACTTAGACCCCGAACCTTCCTCAAGACCTGCTCCCGCAACTTCCTCAAAACCTGAAGCTTCTAGTCGTAATCCTGTAGATCCTGAAGGAATCTTTGATGAGGACCCTGAACCATTAGGACCTGCCCCTGGCTCTTCCAAGAAACCTCGAAAAGAAAAGGGTCCAACACCACCTGACGACCCGGTTGGACCTGAGGACGAGGAGGACCTGAGGGTTCCTCTTTCTTCTGTTTCGTTGTATAATCATCGGAGCCGAGGGCATTTTCCGTTTGATTCCAATTGTGAAGCGTGTTGTTCTTCGAAAGGGCGCGTTCCAGCGCGTCGCTTGAGGAGGAAGCTGCAGAGAGAGAACCAGACCATAGGTCTTGATTTCTTCTATTTCGGAAAACTGAGGGTACTCTTGATGATGCACCTCGGTTCTAAGTATACTGTCTCTCTTCCTGCGATGCACCTCGATGACCCTGACCTGCTCCACAACATCAACCGTGTGATTCGCGAAATGGGATTAGTCGGTAAAGCGGTTACATCTCGGATGGACCAAGAAGCGGCTCTTGGGGCCCTTGCCGAGAAACTCACCCAGTGCGATAGCAGCCCTGCCAGTGCAACATTGATTGACGTGGTTCCGGGGTATCGGCCCCAGTCGAAAGGATCGATTGAGAGGCAGGTTGAAACTATGAAGCAGGGTTTCTGGTCTGTTTGGATGGACCTGGAGAAAGAGGTTGCTAAGGTGAAGCAGGAAACGGAAGCCGTTGAGCTTGGGAAGTATCAGTTACCTTTGGGGGGTTTGCTTTGGCAAGCCTGTGTTTTCTATGTTGCTAGGTGCTATAACCTCTGGTGTACTAGCGTCGGGGATTCGAGCACTAGCATAGATCGACTGCATGAGGAGATTGTGAACCGAACTCGGACGAGACCGTTCGGGTGTCTGGTTCAAGCTCAGGTCAGTAAGTCCAAGGCGCACCATGATAAGTTCAGGGGCGCCCGGACCGTGAAAGCGGTTTATCTGGGACCGGTGCACGCCAAAGGTGGCGGCATCTTTGCCGTCCCTGTCGGAAGCAGGGAAATAGATATATTCCCCGTCGCCAGAATGATTCAGGGAGGTGACATCTACGATGCCAAGACCCTGGAAGAGCTATCTTTAGCTAAGCCTCTTCTGCAGGACACTGAGGACCCCGAGAGGCCCATACTGTTTGATCCGCTAGAGGCTCCTGGTGATGATGCTCCTGATGAGGGGGCTGGTGTGGGAATGGATGAAGATGGTGATGAAGAGATGATTGAAGATGAGCTTGCTGACTATTCTCCGTCGGAAGCGCCTGAGAACCAGGAGGTGGTGAACGATGAGGGGGATATGGAAATAGACTGGCTCACGAATCACTATCTTGAGTCCCTGTTTCGAGGGCCTGACCTGCGAGCCACCTCCACTGCAGTTGCAAAGTCGTTTGATTTGAAGTTTGGGGGTACGAAGATAAGGTGTGCTGTTCCCCAGAACGCTGTGTCTGAGACTTCGGGAGAGAAGCTAGAACCCGATCTCCTTTACGCATCAATGAAGCTTGAGTTGGAAGAGTTGGAATCCTTCAAGGTTGGGGAAGTGATCCCTGAGCGCGAAGCTCGCCGTCTTGCTAAGGAAAACGGCAGGCGAGTTTTGACTAGCAGGTGGGTCAACACGGTCAAGAAGAAGGGACTGTATAGATCTAGGCTAGTCGTGCGGGATTATGCCTCTATGGGAGGCACCACCTTGAGTGAGGGAATCTACTCTCCTACTACTTCATTGGAGGGTCTGAGATTGCTTCTGTCAATGCTCTGCCGACGTGGCAGTGTGTTGTCCTGCGATGTCTCGGTAGCGTTCATGCATGCTCCCGTAGCGAGGGCAGAATTCGTAGAGTTGCCGAATAATGTGAGCACCCAGGGGACTGGGGAACGAGTTTTCGTCAAATTGCGTAAAGCGATGAACGGATTGCGCTCTGCTCCATTATCTTGGTATTGCGAGTTGGCTGAATACTTGCGCTCTCAGAACTTCGAAGCAAGTTTGGACCCCACTATATTCCGTCGTCTTACGAGGAAGGGTTTGACGATTGTGTTGTTTTATGTGGATGACTTGCTGATCTATAGTGAAGATGAAGCTGAGGGGCGCCGGTTCTATGAGGAGTTGCGTAAAAGATACAAACTGAAACTTACGGGCGAGTTGATTCAAGATTGCCCCGGGGAAGTCTCGTTTCTCGGTCGGCGGATCTTTCGCCGTAAGAAAGGGGAACGTACGGTGTATTTCGGGCTAGACGAACAGTACCTGAGTTCCTGTTGCGAGGAGTACGGAATCACCAAACCTGCACCAAAGCTCCCTTCCCTTGAACGCCGCTATGCTGAGTTGCTGAAGAAAGGCCAGACTGAGCTGATCAGTCCAGCTGCTCACGAGAGGTACAGAAGGACTCTGGGCCGTTTGGCCTGGGCGGCTCTGTCACGACCAGACCTGCAGTTTGTGTGTGGGTTTCTGGGCCGCCACCAAGCAGCTCCTGACGAGGCTGCCGAGACCTGTATGAGGGATGTCCTTCGTTGGGTCAAGGGTCTTCCGCACAAGGTCCAGAGGTTTCCGAGTAAAAGGGAGATCTTGGAAGACGATGCGGACCCTGCCTCTGTATCTTGTTTTACGGACGCAAGCTGGAGTCTGAATTCGGTAAGCGGCGGGATCATCACGTGGGAGAACTGTTCCCTGAAAAGCTTCAGCAGGAAACAAACGACTACCGCACTCTCCAGTGCGGAAGCAGAACTCGCTGCACTCACAGAGGTTGCTCGTGAAGGGTTGTACATTGCTTTGCTTGTGGAGACCATCCGCGAGGGTATGCCGAAAGACAGGGAAACCGGTTATTATGTTCTTAAGGGATATTCTGATTCCGAATCGGCGGTTTGTATATCGAAGATGCAGACCCTCCTGAGGAAAGTGAGGCACATCGAACTGCGTGCCGCATTCCTTCAGGAGCTGGTGGCCAGGGGTCGTTTTACCATAGAACACATACCGGGAGTGATAAACCCTGCGGACGCCCTCACGAAGAGCCCCACCAACGAAAGTTTGTCTAGCTTGTACGATGCCTCTGGCCTTGTAGATGAACCGAAGGCCTGGGAGAGTGAGCCTACTGAGGTGCACGTGTCTTTTGAAGAGCCCAATGAAAACGAACGTTTTACTCCGTCTGTTCCGCCTTCCTGGAAAGCCGCTGCTTTGAAGCTAGCTCGTGGTGAAGCTAAGTACGTAGTGGTTGAACTGTGTTGTGAAGAAGGAAGTGCGTTGTCCAAAGCCTGCTCGAAGGTCCCCGAGATCGCCTACTTTGGGGTGACTAAGGAAGTTGATCTTCTGAGCTATAATGGCTTGTGTCTTCTGAGAGAGGTTTTCGGAGTCGTAGCTGAGGGTGAGGTTAAGGTATATGCTCACTTGTCTACTCCGTGCTCTGCTGGGTGTGGTTTAAGGCACCTGAGGTTTAAGAAGGGAGGAAAGGCCCTGGAGAAGTGGAGAGCGGCTCTGGCCGTTCACAAGAGGTCCTGGAAAAGGATCGAGAAGCTGTTGGAGCCTTACGTGGGCTCCCCGAACCTTCTGCTTTCTCACGAGTGGCCTGAGAGGTCAGGACTGTGGGATGAGACTGTGTTTAAGAGGGTTTCTAAGAAGCTTCGTTTGGATCAGGGTTGCCTTGTGGATCGTTGTTGCTTTGAAAAGGGTGACCAACGACCTGGGAAAAGATGGTGGTTTGTGTCTAACCGCACAGAGTTTGTGTGGGGACTTTCGTCTCAGTGCTCTGAGGGACACGGTCACTACTACCTTCCTCTTCCTGAGTCAGGTGTGTATCCAGAGGGCTTAGGATTCGCTCTCTTGAAGAACGCGAAGAAGACTTTTGAGGAGAAGTGAAGAGGACTCTCGGGCATGAGGGGGTGTGAAAAGTTTGCTCGCCGTAGCCTGGCTCAAGTTGCCGTGAGTGCTCAAACTGAGGTGCCGACGTGGCCAGCCTTGAGGCCTGCATTCTAGTGCTCTCGAACAGAACCCAAACGTAACCTCGTAGAGGTCGTAGGCCGGATTAGCCGGCGAGGGCTGGGCGGGAGCCGTAGTTTGTCAGGCGCTCTTTGCGCCATCTGCTTGAACACCGCTGCAACTTGAAACCTTGAAACATCTTGCTTGCACAGATCGCTTGATTTTCTTGGAAAAGTTTGTTTTGAGGGCCTTGCTTGCAAAAACGCCCTTTGTTGCCAAACTTTCTTGCGTACAGTTTTCTTGAAGGACGGCAGCAGACGCACAAGGACTGGTGCAAGTCAGTGCGGACATGTCGCGCTTCCGGCCGTATGTCGTGTGCAGGAAGTGCAAAGAGAGCTGGCTGTATGCTGATCGCATTTCAGCCCACCCGTGTTGTGCAGTTTGTGGTGCAGCGTGGCCTCGACAGGCAAAGCCTAAGGTTAGGTTTGTACAGAGCGGTGATGAGGCATCTGAGACCTCATTTAGGCCGCCCAGGCAGAGTAAGGAGCGAAAGCCCGGCAAGGCGGCACTCGCTTTGCACACAGTGTGGGAGAAGTTGACTCCCGAAGCCCGACTGGCGATCGAAGAAGCCGGGTGGAGGCCTCCATCCGCGGCAGCGGTTGTTCCGCCTCCGGGTCTCGGCGATTTTGATGTTGACATGGATGCATCTGAGGCCTGCGAGGCTAAGCAGAAGCTGTGGTCTGAAGCCACGGAGCAGCAGAAAGAGCTCATGCTCAAGGCAGGCCTCAAGCCGCCGGAGCAAACTCCGGCTCCCACCTCTTATGAAGTAGGAACCGCAGCAAATGCAGCTTTTCGTAAGGCCACGGTTGCACTGAAATTGCTTGGAGACAAGAAGATTAGCTTGCAGAAGCGTATCGACCAAGCTAAGGAGCAATACAACGCAAGACTGACCGAGATGAAACAGTTGCAGACCAAAATTGAAGAGGCGCAGCAACAGGTTGCAGATGCGGGCGAGGAGCTTACCACCAAAGTCCTGGCCCAAGATGAATCTTTGAACGGCGAAATTGCGCAGTTTCTTGAGAAGTTTGGGATTTCCTTGACTGAAGAGCAGGAAGCAAAGATTGCCGCAGTGCGTGCCGGCACACATGGACCCCCTGACAGCCAGGCTTTTGACCTTAAGGCCGCAGCACCCAACACGCAAGAGGTGCCCAAGAAATCTGAGCCAGCGCAGAACGGACAGCGTGGCACCAGATCCAGGTCGCCAAGAAAGACGCATGAGGCTGCCGCTGAGAAGGAGGATCTGTAGGATGCAGGTGAGGGTCTGGGTTCCGGGGATTTTAGGAGGATTCCGGGGTTCTCTTCCTGGGTAAGGGTTACGAGTTCCTTGGGAAGTGACTTGCATGTGCCTGAGGCTCCTGCTTTTCCTTGTTGGCCCCAGACCCGCACCGCTCCTCAGATTTTGCAAAACCAGCAGACCGCTGTCAACACAACATGTTCGCTCTGTGTTGCGCCCCTGGCGTCCTCACGAAGTGTGAGTTTCCACGTTGGGTCCAGCAGCATGTGCGTTTGTAATCCTTGCTTTCAGGTGGCGTCGGCTAGAAGCTGTGCTACTCCTCATTTTGCTGCGCGCTCATTCTCGGCAGAGCCTTCGGTGGCGCAAGGTTGGGTTGCTAGGTCTTCGGTTCGAAATTCGGGCTTGAAAGAAGGGGCGATGCAGCTTGCATGTCAGGACTTGTGTTGTGCATGCTGCCATACGCCTATGTCAGTGCCCCCCTTTGCCCCTAGGCCTCCCGAGCCAGCTTTGTGCCAGCACTGCATGCCGAGTCAGAGTGAGAGTTTTCATTGTCGCCGTGGCTTTTTTCTTGAATCTTGTGCGCTTTCAGGCCAACCTGTGCCCAGGATCCTTGATTACAGAGTGCCGGCCAGGGTCTTCCGCCACAGGCCGTCCACTTTGCCACTGTGCTGGAGTGCTTGTGCTTCCGCCCGGAGGCATGAAGGCACCCTTGAGTCCAGGCCCATTTCTAGCCCGAACCCGTGTGCGCCTTCGGGAGTTTTCCTTAACCCCAATTTGGCTTTTGCGAGTGGATATGCATCGGAGCTTGAAGAGCTTGTGCAAGGGTGGCCTCCTTGTTTGAGTTGTGGCCAGAATGCAGTGCTTGGTCAGCAGGATTTTCCTTGGATTAGGAGTTTTCTTTCAGCCAGCAGCCAGGTCATGTTACACCGTCCATGTGAGGACCTTGCCACGGCTGTCAGTGATGTACTCTGCTACTGCCCAGGGTGTTTGTGTCGCTGGGCGGACCGCCCCACCAGCACCGAGGGCCAGCCTCACATATCCGCTGACTTGTCAGGTCCACGTTTCTTTCCTGCCAGTGCTGCTCAGGAGTGTGATGAACAGGGCGAGGTGTCTGGTTCGCAGGAGCTCGCAACTGTGAGGCCTACATGTATCAGAGCACTCTCGTATGGGCCTTCCACGAATCGGAAAGCCCCTGTATCCAGACGGGCCCGCCGGCGCCTCAACCGCCGATTGCGACACGTGCTTGAGGGTTCAGGGACTTTTTCTGATCCGATTTCTCACGGTGGTGATTTGCTTGACCCTTGTGCAGTTGCTTCGGTCCATGCAGAAGTGGTTGAAGTTGACGGCTACAGGTCGCAGGCTGGCCATGAATTTTCATTTCCGTTCCCTACCCCGTGTGTCTCCCAGTCTTGGGACCCTAGCCCCAATTTTGATTGCTGGGATGCTACTCCTGGGCATTGCGGCATCACTGGTGAATTGCACGGGCGGCCTGACCAGGACCAGCATCTTTTGGGTTGCGCGGCTGCCAATCTTGATGCCATGAGGGCCCCCAGGGCCCAGGAGGAGGGTGGTTGTTATAGTGGTGGTGGTTTCTTTCAGGAGGAGGTGTGCCCGCTGGGCGAGGGTCCTGGGGGTCGGAATTTTGGGATTGCTTCCCTTAATAGAGTTTCCCTCCAGGGTCCAGGAGGTGGGTATATCACACAGGCGGAGGATTGGCCCGCAGGAGGAGGTGCGGCCGCTGGCCGAGGACCCTGGAGGGAGCAATACATCCCGTTGTCTGAGAATTCCGGGTGTGGCCCGAACTTTCATGATGATCCGGTTCCAGCGTGCCCTGAGGCTGGTGACCAAAGACATACGATGTCCCAACCAGGCGTTGCTGTGCGCCCTGCAGGCTGCACTCAGGCTGACCAGGTGCTTGTGCATTCAACTTGGTCGGGCAGTGCTCTCGCTCAGTCTGGTGATCCAGGGGTTTCGGCCCTTTGGGCCAGCTTGCTGCAAGGGCTGGAGCATATGTGTCATGTGCAAGTGCTTCAAGCTGTGGAGGCCCTAGAGGCGGGCCAATATATTCTTGAAGATACCTTTCCCTGGTTTGCTGCTGAGCTTGCTGTTGAAGCCGGTGATGATGTTCCTTGGCACGTTGCAGCCTCGGCTATCAGGGATGTCATCGCAAATCTTAACTCCAATGCCGACGGAAATAAATTGCTGTTAGTCAGCTCCAATGTCACCAAGTGGCGCAAGTCCTTAGCAACCTTTCTTGCGGGGATCAGGCCAGACCTCTGGCTGGTACAGGAAACACACATTAAGGAGGAGCAAGGGGATTTGCTGGCCAATCATGTTGGGGCCTTTGGCTATCAGGCCTTCAGCTTGCCAGGTCACCCCACTGGGGGAGGTGGTAACTCAGGAGGCCTTGCGATTGTGTTTAAGAAGCACCTTGATGTCCGCAAAAGCCACCACTTCCTTCACCAAGGTGTTGGTTTTCAGTCTGTTGTTCTGCGCATCCGGGGTGTTGATATCTTCCTCGTCAATGTTTACTTGAAGACAGGGGAGGGTTTCCGGGGCCCGACTAATGCCATAATTCTTTCCAATTTGATTCCCTTCCTTAGGTCGCTGCAAGGTGAATTCCTTGTTGCAGGCGACTTCAACGAAGACATCAGTGTTCTGGTGACCACCAGTTTGGCGCAGGAAGCTCGGGGCCAATGGGTCCATACGGGGGCTTCCACGTGCACAGGGGGTGGTAACATTGATTTTGGTTTAGTTTCCAAAGGGCTGGCCTTGGGAGTTTCGGTCCGGGCTGACTGGATCACTCCGTTTGCTCCACATGCTGCCTTACATTGGTGCATTGACAGGAGGCAGTGCGAGTTGAGGTTTCCCCAGCTTGTGGGTTTCAAGCCGATGCCCATTATGCCGCAACCCTTTGAGCCTCCTTTGGCAGGTTGCTCTGGCCCTCAGCCTGATCTGGAGTCTGCCTGTGCCGGGCACTGGGGTGGCTCCATACCTGAGCCGGCCCTCACACATACCTTTGAGCAGCTCAGTAGCTCTGTTGAGTTATCGGTCTATGGCTGCACTCAAGGTCGAGGCTGCCTGCCCAAATTTCGCCGTGACAAACTCCTGCGCCATACCTCACCTGTGGGTGCTTGGGGGGGGGCTCAGGCCTCTTTCTGGAAGCGGGTCCTTGTTTGGCTGGAACTTTCGGTGAAGCGGAGTTGTCCTGCACCCTTTGGCCACACATTTTGGTCGCAGCTTGAATTGATGTGGCACGGATCCACAGCCGAGCTCAGTGTTTTCCAAGTCCAGCTCGATGCTGTTCTTAAAGGTGTTACGCCTTCGGCTTTTCCAGAGTTGATTCAGGTATCGGAGCAACAATTTCGTCACCATTCCAAATTGTGGATGCAGAAGCAGAGCGCAAGCTACGGTAAGTGGCTAAAGCAGGCTTCGTGTAAAGGCTTGCGTGGCCTTTTTACCAGTGTTAAAGCGGATGAAGCTGTCCAGCTGCGCCCTTTCTTGCACCAGCCTGTGCAGGAGCGCATCTACCTTAGGTGGAGGCAGTGGTTTGAGCTTTGGTCCGCGCCGGGTGGGGTCGACCCGGCGCTCCTCAGTGATCTCAGGCAACGTGCCCGAATGCAGGCCAAGGAGCTTGGGCCGATTCCCCTAGATCAGGCGGTTGCGGCGTTCAAGCGAGTGCCCAGCAAAGCACCAGGTCTAGACGGGTGGACATTTGAGATGTTAAAAAATTTGCAGCGACCGGCTGTTGCATCCATCATTTCATTTCTTCACCACTGTGAAACTGAGGCCACTTGGCCTGCCCAGATGGTGTTTGCACTTATAGCCCTCCTCCCAAAAAGCGAGAAGCGGGAGAGACCAATAGCACTTTTGCACGTGCTTTACCGCACTTGGGTGCGCATGAGGTGGAAATTGGTCTCCGATTGGCAATTCCAGTACTGTAAAGCCGCGGTCTGGGATAAGGCAATGCCTGGGAGTCAAGTGCTGGACGTCGCTTTGGGACGCTTACTTAGAGGCGAGGCGGCTAGACAGTCCGGTCAGCACTTAGTCACAATTTTCATTGATATGGAGACTTTCTATGATAGATGCCGTTTTAACGATGTCATTTCTTCTGGCCTTTCTTTGGGGTACCCTCCCCTGGTATTGCACCAGGCCCTTCTTACGTACATGGGCCCGCGTTTTCTTCAATCTGAAGGGTCTTTGTGCCCGGCCATTACTCCCGCGAAGGGGGTCCTGGCTGGGTGCCCGGCCGCCCCTTCTATCAGCAAACTTGTTGTGCACCCCATTGCAGTTGCGGCCACTTCCAAGCGTGCGACATCCAATTTGGACGTATGGATAGATGATCTGTCCCTTGACTGTGTCGGTGCCTCGGCCAAGCAGATTGCCTCAGACGCTGTGCTGCTGTTTCGCAGCCTGCGTACCAGCATCGAGGCAACTGGTGCCAAGTTGTCATTGGATAAGACTTCATTTGTTGCATCGTCCTCTAAAGCGGCTAAATGCTTGCAGGCTGTCAGAGTTGACACAGACCCTGAAGTCCGCACCTTTGCCAGGGACTTAGGTGTCACATCGGGGGGTGCACGCCGCAGGGTTTTGGGTTTAGCTGAGATGAGGCGAGCTAAGGCCAGTGGCAGGGCGTCTAAACTGCGCAAGTTGGGCCTTGCCAACTTTTCACATAAAGTGCGCATTACCCGGGCCTCCATATGCTCTGCAGGTCTTTGGGGGCATCAGGCTGCAGGCGTCAGTCCTAAGCGGCGTAAGTGGTGCAGGACTCTTTGTGCCAAGGCCATCGGCCGCCAAAAGTTAGGCTCGCTTGATGTCTCTTTCCTTTTGTTGCGTCACAAGTGCGAGGACCCGCACCTCACCATTTTGAAGCAGCATTTTCGAGCGGTTGCCAGGGTTTTCCGTCGTTGGCAGATCTCGGACCCGGAGAAATTCAGATCGACTTGGGCCAACATTTGGGCTTGGCTTTCAGAGTCGCCCCAACCTTGGAAGCGCGTCAATGGGCCCTTGGCGGCCACTTTGGCATACTTGATGGATTTAGGTGTGCAAGCGCCCCAGTCCCACCGTTGGACGTGCGGCGAGTGTCTCCTTATCATTGATTGGGCCAGTGTTGACGCCACCCGTCGGGTGTGGCATTGGCTTTTGCCTAAGTGGGAGGCCGCTAGGCTGCTTCGTATATCTCATCTGGAAGCCTGTGAATCCTTAGCCTCTGGAGTCGACTTGAAGGTCCCTCACCGCTTGCTTAAGCGCAAATTCTTCAATAAGAGTATGGCGACTAGTTTGCAAGCCCTTTGGCAAGGAGCACTTTTAGGTCAGAATAAGCCCGGGTACTGTAAACTGTGTGCCTGTCCTCTCAGCTTACAGCATGTTCTGTGGGACTGCCCTTTTCTTGTTTCTAAGTATCCTGAACCACCGCATTTCCCGGCCTCCCGCCGCAGTTTCCCGTGGCCATGTCTTTGGTTGCGCGGTTTGTTGCCACAGCGTGCCACGTCGCTGGGAGGTACGGATAAGCAGAAGGGTTTGGTTTGTGAGGGTTTGTGGAGCAGCCGACGGGTCCTTAATAGTGATAATCTTGTTTTTGCTTCAGATGCGTCGGGTGGACCAGGTGCCCGTGACCACCGCGCGGCATGTGTTGCTTGGGCCATTGCGGCATATGAGCTTGCACCGGATGGGCCGAAGCGTGTTGCTAGCATCACGTGCTTTCCTGAAGAGCCCCTGTCGGTGGCCAGTGCGGAACAACAGGCTGCCTTTGAGCTCTTTGGTCGTGTCTCCGGTGCTTTCGACTTGACGGTGGACTGTCAGGCAATCACACACATTCTACGGAAAAACATGCCGCCCCTTGAAGGCCCGGTCCCTTGGGGTGAAATTTGGGGTGATAGGTCAAGGGCTAATATCACTTGGGTGCCCAGTCATAAAGACTCTTCCTATTATGCTGAAAAAGGCATCCCTGAATGGCGGCGTTTGCTGAACGAGGATGTTGATTCTTTATGTGGCAAAAGGGCTGCGCAAGTGTTCCAATCAGCGACTAAGCCGAATCTTCCTGTTCTTGATGGGCTCTGTGAAGAAATTTGCCTGCACCTGGCTAAGAAAATTGGCTTTGTCCTCAAGCACAAAAAAGATAAGGGTTTCCCTTGGGTTTTTGATAGGTGCCTCAACTCCCAGCCTTCGCCCCAGGATGCTAAGCCCTCGATCTTTTCCCAGGGCAAGTTTGGTAAGCCCAAAGGCGGGTCCAAGCCCAGCAGTCAGCCCAAACCCAACAAAAAACAACGCCTTAAGGAGGCTCTCGCCAACCCGGACCCTGGGCTGGGTCATGTTTGGAAGGATTGTGAGGCCAAAGCCAGCAACAATTTTGCGATCCAGTGCACCGTTTGCCAGCTTTATGTGGAGCAGTGTAACCCTCCCGAGGTTTTTGATCGCAAAATGTCCAATCCTTGTCGCGACAGAGCTGCCCCGGTTCCCGCCTGCTGGGGCATACATGGCAGTCATGACATGGTTAATAAGGGTTCTTTCTTTATGTGCTCCAAGTGTCTTGCCATGGTTAAACTTGGTGCCACCTCGTCGTCGTCGGTCATGAAGTCCACTTGCAAAGGGCTCGGGCGTAAACTTAACGCCCAAACGAGAGTGCGTTCCATGGCCCAGGTTGAAGCTGATACGAGCCGGTCCATTGAGGAATCCTTTGAGGCCAAAGAGTCAATCCCTGCGGAGGTTGTGCAGCAAGGCGGTGGCAGTTCTGTTTTCCCCTGCTCTGCCCAACCTAAGCCCAAACCTAAGTGCAAGCCCAAAGCCAAGTCTAAGGACACCTCCAAACAGACCCGTTTGTCGTTTCGGTGAGCTTCTCGGGCTGTTTCGAGGGTTGGGCTAGGGTTTCCACAAAAAAAAAAAAAGCAACCTCAAACATGTCTGGTGGAAGCTGGAGTGCGCTTGCTGGCTGCACCCGTGTCATTGGCGGTCCACGATGGTCATGCGACTGATGGCTGCAACAACGCTCGCCATGGCTTTCATCTGATGTAGGCTACCTTTCCGCATGCTCAATTGCTGCCCTACAGGTCACATGCTCGGTGTGCGCTGTTGGCTGCACCCGCCTGTTATGCCTTAGGGTTATAGGTTTAGGCTAGTCCCGCCGGTGGTTGGGTTGTGATCGCATGCTTCCTTGCCTGGTTGATGAATATGCATTACCCGACTTCGGGCCTTAGCAACAGAACAACTGTGATGTTTTGTAATGGCCGTTGGATAACATCTTGCCACATCATGGTGGCGAAGCCCAACAGCTCAGGCAAATCCAAACCTACGCCAAAACAAGCCAAGTTGCCCTTTACGTGAGCATCGTGGTTGAGATGTGCCGCTTTTGCGCCTTGCTGGCTGCATTAGCGCTGCCTTCCACTTGAGCCTGCTAGGCGCTTGGTTTGCAATAAAAATAGGTGTATGTGTAACTCTTGTTACGTGGTCACGTGTATGTGGCCTTGGCCACTGCAGCTGCTGCCGTTGCTGGCACTGTCCTTGCATGCGATCCCATGGTGAGCAGCAGTCGGGTATCACCCGGTGGTTTGATGAATATGTGCACTTCTTCCTAAGGCCACCTCACTGCCTACAGCTGCTACCTGTGCTGGGCACGGTTTTGGTTTTCTGGTCCGAAACTTGTCAAAAACTACGCTGGAAACTCACAGGTGATGGCGTGGGCACTTGGCGTGTTCATGCGATCACTTGTGGCGCTGTGTACAGTCGGCGGTAGTTTGTTAGGTGTAGAAAGTGTACAAAGGCTGCTGCTGCTGGTTTTCGGCGAACTCTCTTGCACAAGTTGCCATTCTGGCAACACCAGGGCCTTAAGCTGCACAGCTCTGCTTGTATGCAGGGCTCCTTGACCTCTTGCACACCAGTCTCGTGTTACACTGGTGCTGGCGTCCTTGTAAGGATTGAAATTGCGAGGTGGCTTGCCGTGCATGCCCGTTGAATTTGTCGGCTCCCACCCGCCTGCTTCGTGGTCCAGCTAGCTCAAGCGTGCAACAGCAAGACCTAACAGGCTTGTTTGTCTGTTTTGGTGGCCTTGTTAAGCTTACAAGGCTTGCTGTGCTCCCTGGATGCCCATGCTGGTCACCTCTGAGCTTTGGTGCATGGTCCAGCGCTGCTCTTACGCTCTTGTGTGCCACAGTCCCACCTTCTTTCCTTGGGAGAGCTGGTGGGACTCCCGTAGTGGTGCAGTCCCCGCTTGCGATGCGGATGTTGCGTAGTGTAGAGTGTTGTGCTGTTGATCTGTACAGTTTCTAGGTGTTTGTAGGAAGGCGGCCATCGGCCGCGGCATCAGCTGTCCGCACGGGAAGAAAAGTTTGCTCGAACTCCCCAGAGTTCGCCACTCCATCCTTTTGGTCAACCTGTACCTAAAATCAGGCGTTGGCATCACTGGGGCGCCCAACCCGGAAGTCCTTGCCCGATTGAAGCCCCTCCTGCGCCAAAATTCCAACTGGATTGTGGTTGGGGACTGGAATTTCCCTTCGCAGGAGCTGGCGGAGACCACCCTGCCTGAGGCCTTTCGTGGGCGGATCGTCGCACCTCCGGAGGCGACGATAACTACAGGTAACTGTCTTGATTTCGCCCTGGTCTCCACCAGTGTCGCTTCCCTGTTTACCTGTGCTGCCAGTTGGCAAGTGCCCTTCCGGCCTCACGCTGCCCTGGAGTGCTGTTTTAACACCCCCGGGGGCCAAGTCGCCTTGAGGCAACTCCCAGCGTTTCCTGGGGTGCCCAAAACAGACAGCACTGATCCCCAAACCGGGGCCACCGGTCGGACTGACAGCCTCACCCAGGACTCGACCTTGTCTCAGCTAACCCCCGGTGGCGGCCCTTTGCTTGGTGCTTTCGGGTCGGAGGTGATCCAGGGCACTCTGGTCAACCGCAAATTCGCCGAACTCACTCACCGGTTTGCGGTTGAACACTTCACCAAACCTGGTGGGCGTGGGTGCACCCGGCCCTTCGTGTACAAACCCCTCATGCAACCGAAGGAGGGCTACCCGTGGCACGGCAAGGAGGCGGCCTGGTGGCAGAAACTGCAACTCGCCTGGCACAACCCAGGCACCAACAAAGCCCGCTTCGAGGCCCTACGACGGTGTTTCCCACCGTCGTGCACGGAGGTGCTGCAGGCCCAACTTGAGAGTGCCGGCCTCTCCGGCCTCAGCCCGGAAGAGGTGCTCTGCAACGGGGAAACCAAGGGTGACTCCCGGGCCGGGATCCGCGCTGTTGTCAGGAGCATGTGCCAGGCCGCCATCGAAGAGTCCAGGTCCCGCGAGACACGGGACTACCAGGAGTGGCTTACTGGAGCCTCTGTGAAAGGCCTTCGGCCGCTCTTTCGTACGGTCAAAAAGCAGGAGGCTGAGGTTGCCCGCCCATTCGTGGACGAACCGGCTGATGCCCGGCCCTACCTCCGACTGCAGCAGTGGGCTTGCCTTTGGGAGTCGAAGGGCCAGCCTCCTCCTCCCATCCAGGGCCTTAAAGAACGGGCCATTGCTCAAGCCCAGAGACTCCCGGCTGTCACTGGGGAGGAGTTCCAGCGGCTCATTCGTCGCCTGCCCT